CTTGTCTGGCTTGGGCAGCCCCCACTGTAAACTCAGCCATCACCAGAGATCACACTTCTTGTCTTCACCTCTTATTCTTAAACAGTATAGAATGGCTGTCAGTTAACGGGTTGAAAAGAATGTGCAGATACCTTTGGGTCAGGTTAGTGGCCATGGTCATGTTTAAGGAATGTGAAAGGGCTGTGTGTGCAGGGCACAAGGGGCCCGTGCTGGAGCCAGCTGTCTGCACCATGCTGGCGTTGGACAGGCGCACTCGGTTACCTACCTCCCTGTCCCCTCTGTGCCTGGGAAGGAACAGAGTGAGCTGTGACTCATGGACGGTTGAAAGTAGACTAGGTACAGTAGTTACAAAGAGATGCGAATGTGTACAAGGTAGTGGATGTGTTTTGTCTGCTTATCAAGGAAAATGTTACCGTTTTATACCAAAGGTATTAATAGGGACAACCTTTTGACACCACGTATTTCAGAAAACGAGTTTATATTTCGAAATGGTTTTACAGCTTAGACTTTATACGCACTGCCCTACCCGTGATGGTTGTATGCCTTTATTTTGTCCTTTATTTTGTATCCAGCAGGAAGCCTGCAATAAAACTTCAAACCAATCATGTCTGAACCTAAAAGCTATGTAAAAACTATGTATTGGGTAAATATGCTTTTTAAACTGTTATGTGGGAAACTTTTATATAAGGCCATTTGGATCTTATTAAGTGTTAAGGAACGGGGCTTACAAAGTAACATTTCATAAATATTTTATACTGTTTGTTTAAACACCAACCCTGCTGTTTGGGTTGAACTTTTTTAGGACGTTAAAGTGAATGTCAGTTCTGATGTTTTCTGTAGGAATGGAAAAGCCATCATATAAATTCTGTTTTTTAAATGTTGGTGTGAAGAGTAAGTTTGTGTAACTGATTTGTTTTGTCTTCTGCGCCTTATGACCTAATGTTTCTGGCAGCTGTCTGCACCTTCAGTTTTCCTCCAGCTTTGCACCTGTGCCTCCCTGGGATATGATCAGGTTTCATAAGACATTCCGTGGCGAGTGATACCATTAGCCACATGTAGCCATGCACTAGCTGACAGCATTGGCGGGTCCAAGCAGAGATGCTTTCTTATGATATCACGAAGGACACAAATCAACACTGATTATTTAAGAACCATCCAAGTTAAAACAGTGCCCTAAAATTTGGTAAAAAGCAAGGTTTTATTACATTGTAAGAAAGAGCTTACAATTAAAAATAAAATTGGAACAGCGTTTAAGGTCAGGTGTAATCGCATTCCGTTTTCTTGAGTGAGTCACCTGGCTGTGGTGATGGGCAAGTGGCTGATGGCTGTGCAGGAAGCCTGCACCTGCTGTTCAGGACTGAAGTGTGAGCACCACTCTGCCCTCCTCCCCTCCCGAACGTGTGCTAGCCTAGGGCTTCACTGAAAGTTGCTGTAACACAGTCAAGTGTGTCACTAACCTTTCTGTCTCTTTGCTCTTGAATGCTGCAAGTTTTAAAAGTAGTCACTGTCGGTTGTACAATCATTTGTGGAAATATGTAAAATAAACGTTATATAAATGCTTCTGTTTAAACCTGTCTTCTGGGTCTTTTCAGAAATGCCCAGCATAATCCAGCCACTGACCTGAAGTGCAGTTTACGACACCGAGAGCAAGGTAGAGTGCCTGCTGTCTACCTTACCACCTCCAAGTTGCTGAGGGTGGAAAAGAGGAGTCAGTTTTCTGTAGTGTTTGAACTTAAACATTGCACAAAAGGAAGTCATGAAAATTCCGCCTGGCTCCTGAAAAAGCAGACAGGTGGTGTGAGGTACCTCTGATTTACTAAGAGGGCTAGGACTCACCATCTGGGACCTAAAGAATCCTTCAGAAACTTACCTAATGCCTTGACATTTCTAAGCTCCATTTATGTAAAGCAAAATGCAAAGTTTGCAGCTTTAGGAAATTTCATTCACTTACTCTCAGGTCATCCATAATATTTCCTTATGCCTCAGGGGCAGCTGGACCAAGGTAGAGAATCTGTTGCCCACAGTGTAAGGACATGTTGAAGTGCCCACTGGGTGTAGATTCTCTCGGCGAGGTTTAAAACTCAGGTTGGCTTCCTGAAGATGGCACTTTAATATAGTGCCACAGGGCAGTGGAGAAGCTGGGGTTAGGCTCGGGCCCACTCCTGGCTGAGAAGTGCAAGATGACACCCTCCGTTTCTTCAGATGTGATCCTCGTCCTAGAGCTGCTGGAACCTTCCCTTGGAGGTGTGGGTAAATGGATCAAAATCCGGCTTCCTGGGTACTTTTCTCAGTTGTAGCAGAAACGGTGATGGGAGAGGGTAGACGTCCTCCTTTATCAGGAACTCATCCGGACTGACACCTGGGGAGAGTCCAAGCTTAGGCTCAGGGCTGGTACCTCACTTGGAAGGAGGGAAGCAGTTACTTGTACCCCAGCTGTCAGCATCGTCAAGGTGGGTGTGGACAAGCCACTGGAGGCCAACCCCAGCACCCACGCCATAGCCACCTCCCATGAGACAAGTGAGATTTAGAAATGGGCCCACTGAGGCCTGTTTGTGTCTCAGCCTGCACTGATCAGGCAGGAAGACAGGCTCTGTGTGAGTCCAAGAAAGATGTTCAATTTTAAGACTGCATATAAATTGGAAAATCGCCTTGTATTTTACACTGGTGGGGCTTTGACGTGTCAAACTGAGACGTATTTAACTTCTGGTTCATTGACAAATAAGGACGGTAGGTAAAAGTTACTTTTCCTCCCCTTTCATTCAACGTTTAAATCTCTAGTATCAATTCCTTCCTGTTTTTCAGATGTAGAATCAGGAATAGAGGGAAAAATGAACTAGCTTTTGATTCCAGTCAATCTATGAAAGTGAAATAAGTAGAATTTTAATCCACATTCTTACCTCAAACCAATTAATTGCCTCCCTTCTCCCCCCATATAGTCACTTACCACTATTAACTGTCCGTTTTTATCTTTATAGATTTGTTCTTCTGGTCCAGTGTTGAAAACTATTGTACCTGCTTTTGCAGGACTAATATAAAACTGTAAACTTAAAAGATACAAAGTCATGAATTACTTACACAATCTGTTTTTTTCCTCAGCCTTTGGTCTGCAAAAGAAATTCACTTAGAAAGCTTTACTAGTTTTGAGATCCAATTCCTGTTTTATTGCAGAGTTGTGTTGCTTATTTGAGCTATCAAAAGAACACCACTTCCACAACTAGGAAACTTAACCACATGTTTCTGCAGTTACTCTCACATCAGCTTAGCTCTTTCAGTTCTTCCAGGGGCCAGCTTGATGTCTGAAGAGGTACCTACACACCTTTATGCTGATACTCTTACAGTGAGTGGCTGAGTATTCTCAGGTATAGCAAACAGAAGTAACACTTCAGTGTACAGGCAGTTCCCAGGTTACAAACGAGATCTGTTCTTAATTGTGTCTTTAAGTGGAAATTATAGGTAAGTAGGAACATGTACATATGATTCTTATTTAGCCTTACTTTAGTGCAAGAATGGAGCCCTAGTGGCCCAGTGGTTAAAAGCTCGGCTGCAACCAAAAAGGTTGACATTTTGAATCCACCAGCCACTCCTTGGAGACCCTGTTGGGCAGTTCTCCTCTATCCTGTAGGATCACCATGAGTTGAAATCGACTTGACGGCAGTGGGTTTTAGTGCAAGAAAAGGCTGAAGCCTTTGCAGTGATTTAAAAGCAGCACGTGCAGCAAGTGAAAGTGATTGTGATGACGAATTTGTTGTGAGTAGGGGTTGGTTCATTCGTTTCAGAATTTGTTGTGAGTAGGGGTTGGTTCATTCGTTTCAGAATTTGTTGTGAGTAGGGGTTGGTTCATTCATTTCAGAATGAGGGCAAATTTACATAACGTTAAAGGACAAGTACATTCATAACCCAGGGACTGCCTGTACTCAACAGTTTCCCCTATTCCATGTAAGAATTTGCCCACTAGGTTGTAGAAACTTGAAACCTGATAGGAGCAGCTAAACTCTGAGGAGAAAGAAACTTGACTCCCTGGAAGCACCCTGCCGTCACAGGAGCTCTGGAGCAGAGAGCTGCAGCCACTGCGCACGATTCAGGTACCAGAGCCAAGCATGGGCCTTAGGAACCCAGGCACTGCCACTGCCTAGCTGTGTGACATTGAGCATGCTGGTTAACCTCGCACTCCATGTTCCTCACCCGTGAAAGTGAGAAGGTGGCACCTACTTCAGAATTGAATTAAAGAGCCCAGGTGGCACAGTGATTAAGCGCTCTGCTGCTAACTGAAAGCTTGGCAGTTTGAACCCACCATCCGCTCTGTGGGAGAAAGGTGGCAGTCTGCTTCTGGTATGGGGCATTTCTACTCTGTCCTGTAGGGTTGCTACAAGTCAGAATCAACTCAACAACGAGTTTGGTTTTTTACATGCTAGGTGTTTTTCTTTTAGGTCGTAATCACCTGTAAGTGGCCTGTGAAGCTGAGGCCCACTGTGCTCAAGCATCTGTCACTTGCTGTGACTCAGAGGCCTACCTTTCACTTGGCCACAGCTTCCCTTACGAACATAAGCCGCTCCTTTGAAAACTATGGTAAGACTACTATTTCCTTAGGTCAGTGAGTGATCATTGACGTTCTTCATTTCTCTGGTGCCCAAGATCAAAGGGAATGAGGAAGAAAACGAGTTCTTTACCAGAGAGGCCAAGGGGAGGCTTCTCCCCCACACTTAGCTGGTTGACCACCAGTTGTTGGCAAGTTGATTCCAACTCAATGGTGACCCTACGTGTTTCAGAGTAGAACTGCACTCCATAGGGTTTTCTGTGGTTGTGACCTTTTGGGAGCAGATTGCCAGGACTGTCTTCCGAGCTGCCTCTGGGTGGTTCTGAATCGCCTGTCTTTTGGTTCGTAGCCCAGTGCTCAACCACGTGTGCCACTCACTGACTCCTGCTGCTAGACAGTGCTTGCTTATTTTGGAGAGGAAAGGAGAAGATATGGGTAACAGGATCAACATTTGTACCTTTCTTGTTCTGTTAAACATTTTAACATTGACTTACTACCTGAGCAAAAAGATGAAACCACCTACCTTCCTTGAACAACATTTACAACGTTCTCTCTCTTAACCAGCATGGCAAGTTTAGTAACCACTTCGAATATGTGTTCACACTGTAAGATGGCATCCCCCTGAAGTGAAGAGGAAAGGACATTGTGGTTTCAGTATTAGCAGTTTAAAAGAAAAATACTTTCAAATATTGGAGTTTTGTGGTTGTTAACAGTTAGCTAGGGTAGTGTTTCCCTCTGTTAGCAGAGACTGGTGGCAGTCAAGTCACTTACCTTTTGCCTGTAGTCCTCTGGTGAAATATGAATGACAAATACCCCATCACTCAGATTGCTGGTAGAGACACCTTAAGACAGATCCACAGTTAGGGGCCCAGAACTGGAAGACTTGGCATAAATACAGAAGAAGAAGAGACACACCTAGGGGCTCCTCAACCCCATGCCATTTTCCTCCTAGCTGGGCCTAGCAGGATGAAGGGCATAGTCCAGAAATCGGTCTCCTATTCTATTGGAAAGGTCTGTGGTTGAACAGGTCATTGTAGAAGGTGACTAATGTCCAGCCTGGATATCTGAGTGAAGGGGGTGCCATTGATCATATGCCAGGATAAGAGGCCCAGGAGCCAGAGCCTTAGGGCCATCCTACACTTGTGTCTCCATTTGAGGGTTTCATTACCAGTGTCTAGTAGCTAAGTTGGAGACCCTGGTGGCGTAGTAGTTAAGTGCATCGGCAGCTAACCAAAAGTTCAGCAGTTCAGATCCACCAGGCACTCCTTGAAAACTATGGGGCAGTTCTCTGTCCTATAGGTCACTATGAGTCGGAATCGACTTGACAGCAATGGGTTTGTTTTTTCTTTCTTAGTAGCGAAGTCAGCTAGCTCAGTGAGTTGTCTAAGGCTGCCGTGCACTTCTTACCTTTGAGTGCCGAGTACTCTATTTTCTGCTTAATTTTGGCCAGTTCCACCACATAAGCTGCTTTCAGAGTAAGAATGAGTTGCCGCTGCCGTGCCTTGAAGCCTTTCCTGTCGTATTTAATGACCGGGACACCATACTGTAAGGAGTACCATCACCAAGAGGGGAAGGTTACTTGTTAGGGGTGGAATCCTGAGGTGCCTAACAGTTACTCAAACTCCGGCCAAGTTACTTCACACATTCAGAGAAGCCCAACAAAACAGATTTTTCCTGTACCCTGGCTCTGTGTGAGAGCCTCTGATTCCCAGCTCTGCCTCACAGCATTGCCCTCCAAGAAGTCAAGGCTCTGGGCACCACCTGCGTCACGGCTCTGCTCCGAGAGAACAAGGGAGATGGAAACACACTGTGGACATTAAAACTCTATAAAGACCACAAGCCCTCACAGCCGGAAGGGATTTCCAGTCCCCATCATACAGGAGCACACAGTAACGGCAAACGCTTACCTACTGCTACATGCCAGGCAGCGAAGGCCTTCACACCCATTGCCTACTCATCCTCTCAGTAACCCCGTTATCCACGCTCACAGACGAGTGGACACACTGAGAGCTGACGGGACCTGCCAGACCTCACGGCTACAAAGTTATAAAGGCAGCGCCTGCATCCAGGCCCTTGCGATACTGTCTTTCACAACTAAGGAATGTTTGAGTTCACAGCTACATTCCACTCTAGTTTCATAGGAAACCGAACCAAGACAGCTTCTAGAGGACCATCAGGCATGTACTAGTCATCTATTCCCCATAATCTTACCTAATACCCCAAGCACCACAGCTGAGAACCCTGGCCCAACCAGCTGCAGCCCTGCCTTTGAAATAATGCTTCCAGACACTGTGTAGAAAACAGACTCTGGTATCAGACTTAACAACAGAATCTTGTTCAGGGCTGAGGACAGACATCTTACCTGGATTTTCTCATTGCTAATTAGTTGAAGTACTTTGGGATTAATGTCTTCTTCATCTAAAGAGGAAACCAAAACACAGTGTGAGTCATCAGTAAATACATCCCTGTGGTAAAGTTACTCTGGTATCTCTGGTCTTCTGGTTTTGCTGCCTCTCTCTGTGACCAAGATCTCAACTAGGAAATAGCTGTCAGGAAATGCTGCAGAGCTGAGCGTCCTCTGATGGCCTCTCTCCGAATAGAGAAGGTGAGCACACAGATGGGAAAATGGACTTACCTAGCCGGCTGTTGGCAAAGGGTTGATTTAAACTTTCCACATAGCCGTCTTTCTTTCCCCTGAATATGTCACTTGTAACCACCTTTTGCTGCATCTGGTAATATACAATCGAAAGCACAAAAATGGTAGCCAGGGACTCTTTGGGACAGTAGGCTTTACATACATATCTTGTTTATTTCCCTGGATAAATTGGTAGGAGCCTTGTTATCCTTCTGCATTGTAGAAGTCGGAACATATTCCTGACTTTGGCAAAACGCCCTAAAAACTACACTGGTAGGGAACTGGGGTTGACACTTCTGCTTGTCCCCTTACTTGCACTGACTTCCTGAAAGTGGAATGTTCGGAACCAGTTCAGTCATGGCTAATGAAGCAAAACTGGGAAAGACCCAAATTTTTAAAATCTGGGTGATCCAGAACCATAACAGGAAAAATTATGGGTTGAAGTCCTGGAATGGGAGAGTTAGAAGAGGCATAATGAGCCCTTTCAGAAGCCTGATGCATGAGATTGGATTTTTGCCAGGACTGAGGAGAGCCACACACACAAAGTGGTGTGGTCAGCCATCATCTTTGAGCCGGTCACTGCTATTTCTAACTCTGTGCAGAATCCAACGGGCAAGAGATTTGGTTGCTATGCAACATGTATGCTGCCCTTGTTTTCTAAGAGGGAGATTACATTTCCCGTTCTGGTTCACCCGAATTTTTAAAATTTGGGTTTGTTCTGGTGTTGCTTCCTCAGCCATGATTGAACTGGGAAGAACCAGTTCAAAGCCCTGGTTCAGAATTTCAGAGAGCAGTTTCTTATTTTTAGATCTGAGTTTAGTAAGCCTACAGCCTATGGGCCAAATCCAGCCTACCACCTGTTTTTGTAAATAATGTTTTGTCGGGACATATCTCTGCCCATTCATTTACACACTGTCTGGGGCTGCTTTCGCGCCACAACGGCTGAGGTGAGTAGTGGCAACAGACTGTGTGGCCCACAAACCCTAAAATACTTACTCTCTGGCATCTTACAGAAAATGTTCACTGGCCTGCAACTAATCATAAAGCCAGACCTCCAGCAGGGAAGGAGTCTTGCACAGTTAACAGTGCAGGAGCCATCTGGAGTATATTCACACGGCAGCTGTAAGAGTGATGCTGATTATAACAATAGCTGACATATTATTGAAGGCTCTGTGCTAAGAGATCACATGCATTTAATCCTCAGTATGCCTACAAAGTTCAGAACTAGTCGGACCCTTATCGTAGAGGTGATGTGGTCATGAGGACTGCTGATGCTTATAGTCTGGCTGTAGGACCAGCACTAACCCCTCCACCATCCTGCCACCCCGTAGACACACCAAGTCTCTACCTGGGCTATTCTCCCAGCTGGGAGCCCACGGCAGTACTTCTGAACCAGGTTTCTTGTGCACATTTTCCTGAGTAGATTCGATGCCTGCACAGAGAACACATATCTTTTCCACCTGCCTCACTCACACCATGTCTCGGGTCATGACCAACCCAAACAGGCTTTTAAAGCACAGTTCCATTCAGTTTGGTTTAAGGTACAGTCTTAATAAAGCAAGCAGCAAGCCTTCCAATGTTGCTCTAAGTCTTTGCTATTGCCAAAGCAGAGGTTCTCAAGCTTAAATGTCTTTGAGTCCCCGGGGAAGCCGGCTAAAATGACTGATTCCTAGAGATTTTGATTCAGTGAGTCTGGGGTGGAGCCCAGGAATCTGCATTGATAGGTAGCACCCATCTCATGTTTCAAACACATAATCCTCGGACCATCTTTGAGAAACACTGTTCTAGGCAACAGTCACTTAATCTATCTGGAAAGCTACATCAAGGATATTGTTGTTAGCTGTCATCGAGTCAGCCCCCCAACTCATGGTGACACAATAAACACAACGGAACTAAATGTTGACTAGTCCTGCGCCATTGCCATAGTGTGTTACGGATCAGACTGTTGTGATTCGTGGGGTTTTCACTGCCTGATTTTTTAGAAGTAGCTCACCAGGCCTTATCTTCCTCAGTCTTAGTCTGAAAGTTCTCCTGAAACCTATTCAGCATCATAGCAACACACAGGCCTCCACTGACAGACAGACGTTGGTTGTGCATGATGAGGGGCATTGGCTGGGCATCAAACCCAGGTCTCCCACACGGAAGGCGAGAATTCTACCACTGAACCGCCACTGCCCCCACGTCATGGATAGAAACCATCTAAAAAGTGCTCTGTCTGAACAGACATCTATTGGCTTTATAATTCTAATATGGTGTCATGGATTGAATTGTGTCCCCCAGAAATAGCTGTCAACTTGGCTGGGTCATGATTCCCACTATTGTATAATTGTGTTCCATTTTGTAATCTGATGTGATTTCCTTATGTGTTATAAATTCAGTCACTACGATGTAATAAGATGGATTAGTGGCAGTTAGGCTGATGAGGTCTACAAGATTAGGTAGCGTCTTAAGCCAATCTCTTTTGAGATATAAAAGAAGCGAGCAGAGACACATGGGAGCCTCATACCACCAAGAAAGTGCTGGGAGCAGAGCGCATCCTTTGGACCTGAGGTTCCTGCAGTGAGATGCTCCCAGACCAAAGGAAGACTGATGCATCACAAGGACCTTCTTCCAGGAGATGATGCCCTGAATTTGGATTTGTAGCCTACTGGACTGTGAGAGAATAAATTTCTCTGTTAAAGCTACCACTTGTGGTATTTCTTTTAGAGCAGCATTAGATAACTAAGACATATGGGTAGTGTCAATTCTGAGGAGTTAACGTTTCTTATGCAACAAAGTACTTTGCTAAGTCAGCCCTTTCAAGCCAAGGGAGGCAGCAGAGATGAACACCAAAGTTAAGCTCCATCAGTGCCCGCATCACTTGCAACATCAGAATCCCACTGCAGTCCTTACATTTTCCAGGATGCCAGGGGGCCTCAGCCAGCCCTTGTCCAAGACATTCTTTGGAACGTGATACCGAAGATTCAAGATGTAATTCTTCCGCACAAACACTACAAACTCCTCATTAGCAGGAGAAAGGGGTTTGTTGCGATTGATGAATCCCTTTATGAACCTAAACAGGAACGTGCTGTGTTAGTTTTCTGGCCCATTTCTTCACTAGGACTTGTATTCTTTCCCCATGTGTTTGATTCAGAGGACAAAATGGTAGAGATTATCGAGATGGCCAGAAGCCAGTGCTGCAGCCCACAGGCTAAATCTGCCCTAAAGATATGCTATATTTCACCCACACCATTTTTTTAAAAACTTGAATTAGTTGCAAAAAAAAACTACTAAAAAAAAAAAAAAATTGGGAGATACCACATGAAAGCCAGACTGCCAGATTTCCTTGCAAAAGAAAAATCTGGCAATACTGACCTGGCATTTCTCCATGGCTGTAGTCACTGGAGCAGAGTAGTTACTGCCCCCTTGGAGGTGGACTCAGCTTTCCAGTTTGCCACAGTCCCCATCATTCCCTATTGCCTTGTCCCTGTTCATAGGACTCACTCACTGTACCCACCTGGCATTGGAAGGTATTTGACTTTGTGACTTCTGAGCTGGGTTAAGAGAAACTATAAATGTAAAGAGTTGTGATCACCATCAAATTAGGGATCTTAGAGCAAGGAGACGGAACCGAATTCCTAAGGGTTGATATGTTCTAGAGGGAAAATTTCCTTTCTGTACAAATCCGAAAAGCACAGAAAGGCTCAGCCACATCCATGACCACCCTTTCTGCAGTGCACCAACAGTTAGTGACCGCTCCTCCCTGTTGCACCTGTGAACTTACTTTCTTATAATCTGCACAGCCCACTTTCTCCTTTTGGCCTCCTTCCGAGCCAAGGCTCCACGCCAGTGGGCTTCCAGTTTGATGGCTGAAAGAGTGCACTGCTGGCATTAGAAGGTCAGCATAATCATATTTAAATACAGAAGGCTTTTTCAGAGTTATTCATTCACCCAGCAGACATCGGGATGCCCACCACGGCACTCTGCTAGCCCCAGCGATGGAAAGTCGGCTCACTGGCCTGGGTTCTTCCCTGGGGCACTCACACAGCTGACTGAGCCAGGAGACAAGCACAGAGGGAGCCCCGAAACTATGCCAAGGGTCAGAGTCTCCCAAGGCAGTTGTCAGGGACAGGAGTGGTTACTTGTGATGGTTTAGGGTCTCACCAATGTTTTCTTTACCTTGATTTAGTCATCTACATTTAAAAATTGGGATACATAAACAAACGGGGACACATTAAAGATTTCTGGCTTATCTCCCAGTTTTTAAGTGTTGGCGCTTATTCAGATATTTAAAATGCTTTCCTTTTCTTTGTTGTAGCAGCAGTGTTTATAGTACAAAAACAAACAAACAAACCTAGAAACAATGCAAATGTCTATCAACAAGAACTGTGGTATATCCATACTGTGCAGGGATCAGCAACTACTTACTGCCTAAGGGCCGGCAGCCTGTTTATGGAAATAAAGTTTTATTGGAACGCAGCCATGCTCATTCGTTGACTTTTGTCGAAGGCTATGTTCCACAATGGCTGAGTTGAGTAGTTGGGACAGACCATATGACTCAAAAGCCTAAAATACTTACTGTCTGGCCTTTGAAGAAAAAATTTGCTGACCTCTGATGTAGTGGAATACTATATTATGGAACTATGAAAATGAATAACTAAATTGACACATCTACTGGCTGAATTTCAAAAACAATTTAGAGTACAGAATGTCATCAAAAATACAAATAGTCTAATTTTATTTTCATTAAGTTCAAAACATGCCAAACTATAACTATATATTGTTTAGTGATACATCCATAGGTGGTAAAACTATAAAGAAAAGCAAGAGAATGATAAATGCAAAATTCAGGGGGGTGGTCACTTCTAAGAAGTGGGGGGGGACATGGGAACATGATTGGGAGGGACACAGGAGAGCCTTTAGGGGTTCTTGTAGTGTTTGTAAAATTAAAAAAAAAATTTTAAAACACGCATATGCTGTGGGTGAAAACATGTCCATGGAACAAATATAATCTCCAGTCAATAGAGTAGAAATGGAAAGAGGCCCCAGAACTGAACCTGGGGCAGCCCCACCCCGAGCTGAGCTCACGTGGGCAGGCAGGAGGAGAGAATGCACAGAGGAGCCCGTGACACAGGGCCAAGGGCAGGAGAGCAAAACTGCTGATTGTGGCCCATTGCAAACAGGCAGCTTTCTGTTTCAGTCCTACCTGCTTGTCTTTTTTTCAGGTATGCTCTTCTTTCCAGGCAGCCTTTGTATGTGGCTTGGATTCTCCCAACTTAAGATAAAACAAAGGTTTTAGTGAAAGGGCCTTCGTTTGGGCTTCTTTGTAGTGCCACCCTCCTCCCCCAACCCCCCGCCAGAAGGGCGATGTCAGAACTGGCCTCAGAGGGATGTGTGGGGACAACATAGGAAGTGATCAGCTCCGCAGACAGGAGAGCAGGCAGGTTAAAGCAAGCCTGGCCCGGAAGCTGCCCTGGAACTGCAGAGTTTACTTCCTCCCTTCCTCGTTTATTCCCCCAAGGAAAGGAGCAGACAGGGGTAAGAGCACCATCCCAAAGGCAGGCCTTACAGGCACCTTTTACAGATGGCCAGGAAGCTTAGACAGGGGACGACACTTCCTCAGCTGGAGGCAACCAGCTACTAAAGAGGCGACTGAACCCAGGGCTGAGTGACCACAAGACACCCACTTGCCCCTCAGCATCTCTATCCCCCACCAACCCCCTCCACATAATTAATGACTGAGGTCCTACAAGGAGCTGGTTCAAAATGCTGACTCAGGCTCACCCCAGGCTGGCACTTGGAGTCAGCACCTGCCCATTAACCAGACCCCCGTGATCGGTACACTGCTGTAGGAGTCAAACAATGAGACAGCGCAGTCGCTACAAGCCCAGGTTCAAATCCCAGCTCTGCTGCTTACTAGCTGTGTAGCCTTCCACAAGTTACTGAACATCTCTGTGCCTCAGTTTTCCTGAACGAAAAATGGAGATGATAATACCCACTCTGTAGGTTTGTGCTGAAGATAAAGTGAGCTCATGAATGTATAAGACTTAGAATGTGCCTGGTATATAGTTGTTGTGTGTCCTTGAGTCAGTTCAGTTCCAACTCAGCAACCCTATAGGACAGAGTAGGACTGCCCCCATAGGGTTTTCTGGGCTGTAATCTTTACAGGAGCAAGTTTCCACATTTTTTCTCCCGCAGAGCTGCTGGTGGGTTCAAATTGCTGACTTCAGTTAGCAACCAAGCACTTAAACCTTTTGCCACCAGGGCTCCTTGGCACATAATAAACACTCATTATTTGGGCATAGTCTTAACAGACCAGTTTAGATTTCCAAGGCAAACTCCCCACTCCCCGAGTAGTTTTGGATTTTTTATTTTTGTATTTTCCCCTCGTCTGACTTTTCATTTACTATTCATAACAGACACCCTGGCTGCAGGGGTCAGCCAGGGTCAGATGCTTATAAAGTTTGTAAAACCTTAAGGAGGGTGGACTCTAGTGGTTTTAGCTCCACATGTGGCAAAACAAAGTCTGATCCAAAACAGAACTGAGGTGGCACCACCATGTTTAAGGTTCCATTCACCTCCATGACCACCCTCCAAACATTCTAGACAGAGCTTCACGTGTACCTTGTCATAATCCCATAACTCGTTCCTAGTTTCCAAAGCAAATACCTCTCCTAGGTATATACCCAAAAAACTTGAAAGCAGGGATTCAAACAGATACTTATACACTGGTATTCACTGTGCATTGCAAAATGAATGCTTCCAACACTATATCAGACACCTGTGTTTAAGACTTATCCCCAAATCAAATGCGTTGACTTCACTTTTATTGAAATCAGGGCAGAAAAATCATACCTAATTGATGTTTGCTAAATTCAAAGGCATCTTCAGTAGCAAACAGAGTTCTGGGGAAACGAATAAATATTTTGGTTCTAGGAATGGGGAAAAAAAAAAAGAATTATCTTAATTATTAATTGGTCAGTTACCATTCTAACCTGAAGTTGCTTCACGTTATGCCCCAGGGCTTTCAAAAGTAAAAACAGAGGATATGGGTTTAAGTTTAAAAGAAGATTCCATCAACCAACCAAGATAAACTATAAATATTGATCACACATTGCCTGACCCACCCACATCCTTGCCTGTGAGTAAAACTTCCTAGGGCAGCCACTAGAGGGCAGTGGTGTGTCCTGCCACATGACCCTACTTTCCCAGCCCAAGGTTAACGGATCAGGGATGGATACCACCTCTCACCTCCGTGACCAGCCTCCCTCAGGGTGTACTGATCCCGAATCCCCTCAGAGATTTGGATCAGAAAAGTAACATTATTGGAGCAGGCTGAGAACAAGAGCCTAAGGATGGAGAAGGGCCAGGTGGCCACAGTAGGCTGTGTACAAGTGGGAGATAGGTAAATGCAGTTGGCTGGGAAAGCCAATTGGTATTGAGAATTAAAAGCAGATGTCCCTGAAGCTGGGAATCTTGGCAGCCTGGGGATGGATCCTCTTGCTTGGGCTCTGTTTCTTGCAACTAAATTAGCCCTGACCAAAATAACAACTAAAATCACGCTGATTCACCCCACCCCCCGAGTTCTCCCACAAAACTCCCAATGTGTATGGAAGTTCTGTTTACAGACAACTACAGCTGTATAGTAAGTAATGATACCCAGAGTCGTAGAACACCATTCTCTGGGATGCTAAAGATGCTTTCACAACTGATAGGTTCCACTATCACCTGCGGGAGTTATGTCTGCATTTGAACAAGGAAAGAATCAAGGCGCACAGAACTGAGGTGGTCCAGCAAAGAGGCTCCTCCCAGCTGCCAAGTCAGGCTTAGAACACAGGGCTCTTTTGTAACTTAACCTCTGATTACGGCAGCGCTTGAATTGAGTGGATGAAGTATCTGCTTGTAAATCTACATAAAGCCCTGAAAAAACCGAGCTCTCCAGGCTCTAACTGGATGTGGATCAATGCGTGAAACATTTTGATGGCAAGAGAAGAGACTGTCTGGCCATTTCCTGGCCACTTACTTCCCTAACTTGTACTCTTCGGGTTTGTAGCCAATGTACTTGATCAGCCGTTGTACGCCCTCTGCTGGAGGCCCATGCCAGTGCGGCCAGGTGTCCGGGCACAAGGACTTGTATCTGGAGGGAGAAGAGAGGGGCGTGGAGAAAGCTGTAGTACCTTCCCCCCAGGCCATGTTAGGTCTCAGGCTAGTGTAGCAGTCTCATCGCACCTGCTCCCAACTTCCTTGAATTCAGCAATATACATGTGGCAAGAAAAAAGAGGGAAACAGTTTCAGTAGAGTGGGAGATTTAGCCTGCCTTCCTAAAATGACCACATCAGATGCTCAACCTAAGAAACAGCAATCTAGTCCAGCACAGAAAGAAGAAAACATGCCGTGCTTGATAGTGATGGGAGTTTTCAAGAGTAATTTTGGCCCCAATGCTGACATATGAACCTAGTTTCAGCATTAAATGTAACTCCCTTCAAATAATGCAGTTGCTGTAAATGTAACTGGAGTCTCTGGGTATGCAAACAGTTAAGCACTTGGCTACTAACAGAAAGGTTGGTGGTTCAAATCCACCCAGAGGTGACTCAGAAGAAAAGCCTGGCAATCTACTTCCAAATGATCACAGCCATTGAAAACCCTGTGGAGCAGTTCTGTTCTTGACACACATGGAGTTGTCATGAGTTGGAATCGACTCTACAGCAACTGTTTATTTTTTTAATAAAGGTAACCATAATGTCTATAATATAACAAAGTAAGTGAACGCAGAATTCAAAAGTGCCCATGGACCAAGGCTAGAAGTAATACAGCTGCAGCAGTTGGGTTGGAATCAGACTGCCTGGATTCGAAGCCAGCTCAGTAGCTGGACAAGTCACTTCCTCTCCTCACCTTAAAAAAAAAAGGAAAAACCTATTGCC